CACAGCTCCTAGCCACCCCCCTTCCCCCCCCTGCATGCTAATACAAGGGGGGGGGGGGGCAGGAGAAGACCAGCGTGCCACGCACGAAGCCAGTGAGTGACTCTGCTAAGTCCCCCTAAACGTACACCTGCGAGGTGCTTCTTTGGCCTTCTCTCCACTGCACACACACACATACTGTATTCTTAAATGAAAGGCTTGGCTCCTTCTCGCCGATGCGGTTTTCCTTGAACCCCAAACTTTGTGGCCCTGGGAATATAGGAGTCATCTCTTGAGAAATCTGTGCCTTGTTTCATGACTCATCAGCCCCATTTCCTTCAGTGCTTTCAAACAGCACCCCACATTCCTGCAGCACCAGACTGGGAGGGACACCCTCACACAACTACCCTGCAGAATCCCACTTACTGTCAGTTGCTCCAGCACCCCGCCTATCACCTCTGCAGTAAGGGAGCCTGCGGTTGAGCCTGGAGTGATCCTGGTGCCCCCCCAGATCTGGCTCTCAGAAGCACCAAGAAGATTGTGGGGGCCAGTGTTTGCACAGTCCATGGTCACCCGGAGCTTCTCAGGCTGCCTGGCACGTGGTGGGTGGGCAAGGAGTGACTGTTATGTGGACAGGTGGATTGAACTACGGCGTCGTTGGGACTGTCATGGCCCATTGCATAGAAAACATGGGGAAATACAGCATGGCTTCCCGACAACCTAATACATCCCTGAGCGCCTGTCCTGGGCCTGCACTCACATTCGTTATCATCCCACATCCTTCTGACGCCACCCTCAGTGTGGCTTATCATTCCCATTTGAGAGATGAGACTCAGAAGATAGGGGCCAGCGGCCCAGCTGGGCTTTAGAACAGGGAACGCCAAGCCCAGCGTGGTGAGTGCAGTCCTAAGACCCTTGTTTCCAAAGAAAGGCTGCAGTGTGGCAACCTTATCTAGTACAGGGCCATGGAGCCGCAGCGGGCGGGTTTTGGCATTGGACCGCCTGAATTGAGTTTCAGCTCTTCCGTTTACAGTAGCGAATCCACACAGTGTGAGTAAGTACCGAGCTCTCACCTTGGCGGCACCCAGCTCTCTCCGTGGCTGACGAATGCACTTGCTTCCATCCTCAGGTACTACGCATCCCCAGCACCTACCTCAGCCCGACCAGCCGCAGAGTGGCCCCCCACGGCCCCCTCCCGGCCAGCCCGGGGGCACCGGCGCTCCCTCCAGCTTGACCTGGACGACTTGGAGGAGCTCAGCAAGGCCCTGAGCCAGGCGGTGCAGGCGGCCGAGAGCGTCCGCTCCACCACGCAGCAGCTGAGCCGCTCTCTGTCGGCCGACCTGCGCCAGGCCCGCAGCCTTCGGGGCTCCTGTCTCTTCTGACACCACTGAGGCTCGGGGACAGGCAGTGGGCAGGGCCCACAGCCTCCCACCAGGAGGTCCCAAGTCTCTGTACAGGTGCCACCACCTCTGTCACCAGGCACCGGCCTGGTCACCAAGAGACGAACGTCCTGGGGGACCAGCCCCCTCTGAGGAGACGCCGCCAGGGAGGACACCTATGTCCGGGGCAGTGTCTGGGACTCTCCTCTCCTGGTCCCAAGCTCTCCATGTCCAGCTAATAATACGTATTTTGTGTACAGATGGACAGATAGTTGTTGAAACCATGTTGTCCTGGTCTTAGATCCTCCTTAGGATGACAGAGGAGAAGGGAAAGGCCAGGGTCTCTGTCCCTTATGTATGACCAGCCACCCCTGGGGCAAGTGTCTCAGAAGCACACGGGCTGGAGGCCCCTCTCCTAGTGACTGGTGGTGAGCGGGGCATTTGGGGACAGGTAGGGCATCGCAGGGCGTCAGAGACCTCTCCCGCTGGGCCTGCTGGGATGGAGACCCCTGCGGAGGCCTGGGAAGCCACCTACCACGATCCCTCTTGGTGCCTCACCCTGAGCCCCACTTCCCTGCAGTCCCGGCGGCATCTGACTAGCGGTCAGCTAGCTGCATGGCTGCTGTCTGGCCACGGCCCTCTCCCACACCCTCACCTGTAGCAGAGCGTACCTCAGCATTTCTGGATTGTATGTGCGTCATTGATGTTTGTATATTTGAGACTTTTAAAAATCTATTTTCGTTACAAGGGCAAATGAACAAAAATAAATATTGATCTTTTAAAAAAAATAGGCTAAATTTTTTTTTTCCCAAAGCCACCTGCGTCTGGTGTGTGTCATTAAATGTGGTTTCTTTTTCTTTTTTAAGAATTATTTATTTAATTTTATTTGTTATTATAATGTTTAAAGAATTATTTATTTGAATATAGATAATGAGGTCTCTTGAAGATAAGACCCAAGGCTAAACATGTAATTCATTTATGTTTTAAATAGACCTTATATACATAGCCTGAGGGTAATTTTATACAGTGTTTTCATATTGCAGTGTTTTTTCTTTTTGTTTTTTTTTTGTTTTTTTTTTTGTTTTTAGAGGTTTTTACTATAGGGCGTGTGTGCTCACCAGAAAGGCAGAGGGAGACAGAGAGCCAGAAAGAGAGAAATCACCCCCCAGGGAGGATGGCCACGCCGCAATCCCTTCTCTTCCATTCTTTCAGGATCTTGGGCATGCATGCACACGCACCTGGCATGAGTTTAAACCACCTGGTCCGGGACTCGAACCGCAGTCAACTACATGGGAGTCCAGCGACATAGCCATTACGCCAACTGCTGGTCCCCCTGTTATTGTTCTTTTTAATTTGCTATAGGGCACATGTACTCTCAAGAGAGAGAGACAGGGGTGGGGGGGGTGGGGGAGAGGAGTGAGAAAGCAAGCCTCCAGGTCTGGAACTTGAACCGTAGCCAGCCACGTGGGAGTCCAGTACTTACCCACCATGCCACCTGCTGGTCCCATCTAATGTAGTTTCTAAAGTGTGTGGGCCCAGGCCCTGCCCCAGGGGCCCTGATGAGTGCATTTTTTGTACTCTGCCTGTCTGCCCCTGCCTGTAACTGTCCCTTGACCTATCTCAGAATCATAAGCCTTTTGACTGGAGAGGCCAGCTGGCCAGGCCACATTTTTCTGAGCTCAGAGAGGTGTAGTTACAAGAGGTGTAGCTCTGCAAGAGCCTGAGCCTGCACTCTCACCAGTGCTCCTTACAATAACGAACAACAGCTGCCATTCACCAAGCACCTGGTCCCTGAGCTCAGGAAGAGGCCAGCTGGCCAGGCCTTCCTTGCTGGACTCCGGCTTCTGCTCAGTTCTTGTGCCATAGTGGGCTATGCCCTGCGCAGGGCTCCACCTGGAGGGCTTCAAGCACTTTGCAAGATAAGCTGTCAGGTGTGGGTGGAACTTAGTTAAACACTGGGCAGAGGGAGCCTGATTCCACAGGACCAGAGTTCAAGTCCCAGACCCAGAGACTTGGAAGAAGACATGCCAGACACACATGTGCATGTCCTGGATCCTGACGGGATGGAGCATTGAAGGGAGAATTGCAATGTGACCAGGACCTGTTGAGGGAGTGCTCTTTCTCTGTCTCTCTCTCTCTCTCTAGTGGGCACACATGCATGCTCTGACATTAAGTATATATATATATCAGCTACTTTCTGGGACCAACCTCACAGAGATGTCTTCTTCTGGGTCTCCCAGGTGGGTACCCTGAGGAGACTTCCCTGGAGACACCAGCCTCCCTGGACTAAAACCGATCTTCCATGTTACCCCAGCCCTGCCCCCACCTTGGCCACGCAACCTCTACATGAATCCTCCGACCTCCAGTCTAGCCCCTCCCAACCCACCTCCCCAGATGGCAAAAGTGATTTGCCTGCAGTAAGGTCCCTTGTGACTGGTACCTCACACCTGGTGCCCCCCACACTTTACCCACCTCTGCTGCTGCATGGGGTCTTCTGTCCCAAGGTTCCCAATGTGTCCTCTTAGGTCCTTGCTTGCAAGAGAAACAGCACTATCAAGCTCTTAATCTTTCTAGACTGATTCAGATGCCCCTTCCAAAAGCCTTCCCAGACTTCCCCACTGCAGGCGGAACCTTCCCTGAGCTGGGCTCCCATGGATGGCACATGGTGCCCACTGCCATGAGCCCTGACCATGTGCCAGATACTGTGACAAAGGGTCTTCCAATCAGGATGGCTCATTGCCAGTGCCCGGCCAGGGCTCAATTCGGGGCAGGCTTCTAGGTGAATAAATGAGTGAACAAGGAATTGAACGAATGAATGAGCAAATGACTACTAACCTGACTGTCCCAACTCCGGACCCTTTATTAATGCAATGGGACGAAATAACCGAGGTACGAAAAAGGAGTTGGGGGTAAGGATGGTCCCCAAAGCCCCAGAGGTCTGGTCTCAAACACTGTTCTCCTAGGACTCCTCCTCGTCAGTCTTCTTTTCCTTCTCATCCTGCGAATCCTGTGGCTCACACTGATCCTGGAAGACGAGGGGGAAGAAGGTGATGGGAGCCAGATAGGGCAGCAGCCCCACCAGCCCCACCAGCCCCACCAGGGCTCGAACCCGCTCCTCAATGGAGACTGTGGGTCATTTTCCATCTCTCTGAACCTGAGCTTGCTGCGAGAGTGGATCCCATTCTCTTAGACACAGCGGGCACGTGCTGAGCTGAGCGCCTGTGACCTGCCAGACGGCTGCACGGTATCTCTGATTCCTCACAGCTCCCACCACCTTGAAGATGATGGGGCTCAGGGTGCTCAGCCGAGGGAGACCTCCGAGGTGCCCAGCCAGTCACAGGGAGGAGGCAGACACGGCCCGGGAGGACCAGGCACAAATATCCTTTCTAGGGCTCCTGGGGTAGAAGATAGGGAGTCAGGGCTCTCTCACCTCTAGTGGCCCCAGAAGATGACCTCAGGTGGACGTGGGTGGAGATGCTCTTACTTTATAGTCAGGAAAGTATTTCACATGTGTACACGTGTGTACGTACACATGAATTTATAAATGCACAGAACAGTGCAGCCAGCTAGTCAACTCTGATCTTGCAGATACGGCATAGGGCATAGGGCAATAGGTAATGAAGCCTTTCATTTAACACAGGATTAAAGAAAAGGATAAAGGCTGCAGTTGCACGGGCAATCCTGGTGTATAGCAAATATCAGGACCGTGGTCCTGGACTTGCTGCAGTTTGGGTGGCACATTTTCTGGAAAAAGGCAGTTCATAGAGGCCGCTTATTGGAAATGCCCCTGCTTTTAGGACTGGGCCAAGACACAAGTTCTGCATCACTTGGTATTAAGAATGAGGAAGGGGAGAATAAACCTAGGGGGTGGGAGGAGACCCTAAAGATCTTTTTCTGTGTGTTTCTGACAAGTGCCAGCACCACCTCCTGGCTCACACTGTACCCTCCTGTTAGGCTCCAAGGTCTCCCACCTGCCCTGGCGTCCCAGCATTCCTTATTTCACAGGGACCTTTCCCTCCCTGGCCACCACCTTGGCCTCTGTGAATCTCAGCTGTCTCTGCAGTGAGGCAGGTGCTGAAGGCAGGAGACCTGCTCCGCTGTGCAGCTATGGCTGGCTGCTGTCCCTCTCTGGGCAGCCTGTGTTGACCAAGGCAAGGCCGCTCTCAGGTGGGCACTGCCCAGTCCCTGCATGTACCTTTTTCCAGTCGGTGTAGACAGCTTCCGATTTGTGCATGCCCAGGCACGCCAAGGCTTCATGGAACTCTTCCAGTTGCTCCTTAGTTGCCACGGGATTGTCAGCTGCAGGGGGAGGTGGAAAGGGGGCTGGGTAAGGACAATGTATGCCCAATGGAGGCCAGGAAAGGCTGGGTGCACCTGCAGAGAGGCCTGCGGGTGGAGACTTAGAGCTGCTGGGCACCTACTGTAGAAAAACAGCCCCTGCTTCTTCTTGTTGTCTAGGTTGGAAGCAAGGAAGAAGATCTTGGGGTCCTTGAAGAACAGCAGGTGACCAAAATGTTCTCTGCCCCATACTGCAAGAGGAGAGAGCGCTGGGTGAGACTGTGGAAGGACACAATGGTTCCAGTCCTACAGGCACGCAAGTCTGGGTGTGCCCAGGCCCAGGCAGCCATCAGCAAAGGCCTGGAGTCCACTTAGACCCCCACGTGCCCCCCCACTGTGTGCCAGGCTAATCCCTTTACGTATGTGGAAACAAGACTGGCTCCCGGGGCCTGTTCCCCCAGTGTAAAGAGGGAAATGAGGCGCAGAGAGGAACCTCGAGGTTGCTGACTGTGTCAGTTCAGTTCCGTAGGCATTTGTGTGCCCCTACTGTGTGCTGTCCGTAGGCATTTCTGTGCTCCTACTGAGTGCTGTCTCTGCAGTGATGGTGGGGACAGAGAGGAGTCACTGACCGCCCGAGATGCAGTCTCCCTGCCTTGTCATCCAGACCGTCTTGAAGAGTGACTGAGAGGCGGGTCTGACCGACCTTGGCTTTGAACTCCTGTTGTAATGGCAAGCTGTGTGATCTCAGGGAAAAGCCTGGCATCTCTGTTCTTCCCTTTCCTCACCTAATCATTGCATGTCCCTTTAGGCTTGTTCATGAGAACCAAGTGGAGCCATCAGCATAAAGCATTTTGAACAGTGCCTGGCCCGTGGTAAGAGCTTAAAGATGTTGGCGGTGATAACTATGAATTTCGGGGCGAGCAGGTCCCAGGACTGTGGAGAGGGAAGAGGGCCTATCCTGTGTTCCCTGTGCCCAATGCCTTCAGGGTCCTAGACCCAGCCTCCTCCTCTAGGCTGGCCCCATCCCACGGGACAGACCCTCTGCCCGGGGCCCGCCCTCACCATATTTAGAGATCGTCCCATTCTCACGCTGCACCCACAGGTAACTGGAGTTGTAGACGCACTTGTCCCTACTAACGGCAGCAGAGGATGGGGGACAGCAGATGGTCAGACCGTGACAATATATTTCCTGTGAAGTCTACGTACTAGAGGCAGGGGTGAGTAGAGTCAGCCCTCCCCATCCCACAGGCGGGAAGATGGAGGCCAGGATGGGGGAGGGACTAGTTTGCACGTCTAACACGCGAGGGTAGAAAGCAGAGACTGGGACTGGGGTGTGGGGCTGGCGTGGGCTCTCACACGGTTATGTATTCTCGGAGCAGGATCTGGTCCTCCGTGTGGTTGGGGGTAAAGTGAAAGAAGGCCGCCTGAATGATCCGGGAAGACTGATTGTACTCCGGGTCCCGGTGGGCCGAGGCGATATAAAACCACTTGCCAGAGATCTGGGGAGAAGGCAGGGGCCGGTTCAGGCAGGGGCTGGGAGCACGATTCTTGACAGTCATACAGGACAAGACTCGGGCTGCTCCCTTTTCTCTCTGTTGTGCAACAAGGAATCTGAGACCCCAGGTGGGAGGAGACAGGCAGGATCAGGCCAATGGAGCCATCCCCTACAGAGGGCCTCTGCCATGGGCCTTCTGAGTGTGGACTGAGGCACGTGCTATGCCTCCGCTGGTCAGAATTTCACTCAGAGGTCCCGCAAAGCAGAGGGCAGAGCCACGGGAGGGCGCTGACAACAGGGGCAGGGTGGGGAGAAGCTCAGTTAGGGCAGCAGCTGCCACAGTCACCAAAATGGGCAGGCCCCAGGCACTCACCCTGTCCAGGGTGGCATTGGTCATAGGTGCCACTGTGAGGTTGGCACATGCCGGGTTCTGGGCGTTCAGCAGAGGTAGAAGGCTCAGGACTGCAAGAGCCAAGGGCAGCGCCATGCTGAGAGACGTGAGGAGGCACCAGAGCTGGTGAGAGCTGGTGGCCGAGGACAATGCAGTGACCTTTATAACAGGTGTGGGCGGAGCATCTGGGGCCCAGCTAGGGTCTGCTCAGGGCCATGGCGCAATCCTGCCAGCAATTGGGACATGAGGAATGCTTTCACAGAACCTCTGTCAAGGCCAGCTGTCGGCACAGCCTGTACCCCGGGCCTGACGCTGTCCCTGGCCTGGAAAGGTGAGGGAGGCCTTATTAGCACCTGGCTTAGTCAAGGCCAAGGTGGGTGTGCAAGCAGAGTGGTGAGCCCATAGATTTTAGTAGCAGGGCCTCCTGCCCCACAGTCTCTCATGTTTTCAACCAATTGTATCCCCCTGAGCTCCAGGACTTGAGCGGGACCAGTCACAACAAAGGCACCTCCCAGAGTTCCAGGAGATGGGGAGGCCAAACCTGGATCTGGTTGAACTGAGGGTGGCTACAGCTGTGACAGAACAAAGCCCAGTGGCCCTGGCCCAGTCCCGGAAAAAGGGGCATTTCCAATAAGTGGCCTCTATGAACTGCCTTTTTCCAGAAAATGTATTTCTTCAACTGTCTCCCCGCATGCTTTGTGAAATGGAATCACCTCCATCGTCCCACACCTGCAGCCGTCCGAGCAGGGACCTTGCCTGTCTTTCCTGCACCCATCCCTGTCCTGGGCCAGTGTCCCACACAGAGGACACTCAGCAAATACTGTGGGACGAAGATTCCCTGCCCTTGTGCATTTCTACCTGGTGGGGTCAAGTCTTTATTCACATGAATGAATGCTTCCAAAAAGGATATGATGATTGTGTTATTCTTTTTCATTTTACAGGTGTTCGCCTTAGGGAGCATGCTCTTGCCTTAGAGAGACAGTAAGAAAGAAAGTGAGAAATCTCTCCCCAGGAGAGATGGCTACACCTAAATCCCTGCTCCATTCTCCTCTCAGGATCTCCGGCACTCATGCACAGGCAGCTGGCGGATTTTCAACTTAGCAGGTCCAGGACCTGAACCATGGGCTGCTATGTGGGAGGTCAGCGACACAACCCCTACGCCCTCTGCTGGCCCCAATGGTGTTCTTACAAGTTTGTGTTTTTTATTCATTGCATGTACTTTGAGCACTTTTTCATGTTTCAATGTAGTCTGTACTTAAAGTTTGACTGAATGTGAACCTTTTCAATTCACTTAAAATTTCCCATTTTAATAGTCCTTTCTTATATCTACAGCATTTTTAGCATTATTTATTGAAGGGGCCAGCAGACGGCATAGCAGCTATGTTGTTGGATTCCCACATGGCTGACAACGGATCCAGTCCTGGAACCACTGGCTTCAAAATCAAATGGCCGTGTTTGCGGGCCCAAAATATCAGGAGGAAAATGGAGGAGAAGGGATGGGATGTGGCCATCCTCACTGGGGTGTGAGTTCATGCTTTCTGTCTCTGTCTCTCCGAGGAGCACTCACGTCCTATAGCAGAAATCTCTCAAAAAATAAAAAAGAAAAGATAAAGGAAATGGCATCTTGCTGAGAGAGGACTGAAGGGAAGACTTTGGTGGACTCTGAGCCTGCGGGTCCAGAACTTTCCTGGCACCAGGAGCCTGCTCCTTCCGCTCCAGCTCTGGGACATCTGGCTGGAAGGAGCCCTGTGTCAGGCGCTGCACCGGCTCCAGCTGTCGGGCGGGGGCTGCTGGAGTCCTGGGCTATGGAGCTCTTGGGAGGGGAGCCAAAGAGGGCGATGGCGTGGTGGGCAACAGAACTGGGCTTTGGGGGGCACCAGTTCCTGGGCCTGCCCCTCTGGAGTTGCCTGGATATTGAGCCTCTCCTTTCTGCCAACCGATTGGTGCTGCCGCCTTCATATGACAAGGCCCACCAATCAGGAGCCCCCACGGTCAGAGAGGAGGCGGGGCCTTCCTTGCTGGACTCCTGGCTTCTAGTGTTCAGTCCTTGGGCCATAGCGGGCCATTCTTTCCCTGGGCACGGCTCCACCTGGGGTGCTCCAGGTACATTTGCTAGATAAGCTGTCAGGTGTGGGTGGAACGCAGTTAAACACTGGGTAGAGGAAACCTGATCCCACATGGCCAGCCAGAGTTCAAGTCCCAGACCCAGAGGCTTGGAAGAAGACATGCCAGACACGCATGTGCATGTCCTGGATCCTCATGGATTAGGGAATTGGAGGCAGAAGAATTGCACTGTGACCAGGCCGTGTTGAGGGAGTGCTCTCTCTGTCTCTCTGTCTCTCTCTCTAGTGGGCACACAAGCATGATCCAGCATTACAAAAAAATAAAAAATACTATCAGCTGGTTTCTGGGACCAACCTCACTCCAGATGTCATTTCCTTCTTATAGTCTCCAGATGGGTTCCCTGAGGAGACATCCATGGAGACACCAACCCCTCTGGACAAAGCCCCGAGTCCTCCACATCACCTCTGCTCTGTCCACGCCCTGGCCAGACAACCTTGCCTGGATGTTCCTACCTCCCATTTAGTCCCTCCAAACCCGCCTCCCCAGACGTCAAAACTGATTTGCCTGCAGTAAGGTCCCTTGTGACTGGCACTTCACGCCATGGGGTCTTCTGTCCCAAGATCCCCAATGTGTCCTCTTGGTCCTTGCTTGCCACAGGAACAGCACTACCAAGCTCTTACTCTTCCCAGACTGGTTCAGATGCCCCTCGGGAACCTTCCCTGAGCTGGGCGCCCATGGCATGTGGTGCCTACTGCCCTGTACCCGGACCCATAGCCCAGATAGTGTGGCAGGGGCTCTTCCAATCAGGACGGGGTCTTTGCCAGGGCCTGGATAGGCCTCTACTCGGGGCAGGCTTCTAGATGAATGAATAAATGAATGAACAAGGGATTGGATGAATAAAGAAATGACTAGTATCCCGAATGCTCCTTTATTGATGCAATAAGAGGAAATAACCGAGGTACAAAAAAGAGGTTGGGGGTAAGGGTGGTCCCGAAGTTCCTTAGGTCTGGACCCAATGCTGTGTCTTCTAGGACTCCTCATTTTCAGTCTTCTTCCCCTTCTCATCCTGTGAATCCTGTGGCTCACAGCGATCCTGGAAGATGAGGGGAAGACGGCGGTGGTGGGAGCCGGACAGGGGAGCAGCCCCACGAGGGCTCCAACCTGCTCCTGGCTGGTGACTGTGGGCCATTTTCCCTCTCTGAACTTGAGCTTACTGCTAGCGTGGAGCTCACTCCCTTAGACACAGCGGGCACGTGCTGAGCGCCTGCGACCTGCCAGACTGTTACAATGCATCTCTGATTCCTCACAGCTCCCACCACCTTGAAGATGATAGGGCTGAAGCTCAGGGTGCCTGACCAAGGGAGACCTCCGAAGCCCCCAGCCAGTCACTGGGGGAGGCAAGCAGTGGCCCAGGAGGACAGACAACAGAGCTAAGCATGTAAGCCCTTCCCCAAGTTCCGAGGCTCAGGGAGGGGCGGGACGGCTTTCACCGCTGGTGGACCTGGAAGATGACCTCGGGTGGAGAATGGATGGAGATGCTCTTGTTTTATAGTCACGAAAGCATCTCACGTGTGTATGTTTGTGCATATACGTATGTATTTATAAACTCACGGAACAGTGCAGCCAGACCATCCCCTCTGAACTCGCAGACATGACACAGGGCAACAGCAAACAAAACCTTGCATTTAACAAAGGTTTAAAGAGAAGGATAAAGGCTCCAGTTGCACGGGCAAGCCTCGTTTATAGCCAATATCAGGACAGTGGTCCTGGACTTGCCGCAGTTTGGGTGGCACCGGAAACCCAGACACAGGTTCTGCATCACTTGGTATTTAGAATGAACAAGCGAGAATCTAAGCCTAGGGGTGGGAAGAGCCCCTAAAGGTCATTTCCTATGTGTCTCTGCACCAAGTCCCACCACCTCCTGGCTCACGCTGTACCCTCCTGTTAATCTCCAAGTCCTCCCACCTGCCCTGGCGTCCCAGCATTCCTTATTTCACAGGGACCTTTCCCTCCCGCGCCACCACCTTGGCCTCTGTGAATCTCAGCTGTCTCTGCAGTGAGGCAGGTGCTGAAGGCAGGAGACCTGCTCCGCTGTGCAGCTATGGCTGGCTGCTGTCCCTCTCTGGGCAGCCTGTGTTGATCAAGGCAAGGCCGCTCTCAGGTGGGCACTGCCCAGTCCCTGCATGTACTTTTCTCCAGTCGGTGTAGACAGCTTCCGACTTGTGCATGTCCAGGCACGCCAAGGCTTCATGGAACTCTTCCAGTTGCTCCTGGGTTGCCACAGGCTTGTCAGCTGCAGGGAGAGGTGGAAAGGGGGCTGGGTGAGGACAATGCATGCCCAGTAGCAAGCCAGGGAGGGCTGTGTGCACCTGCAGAGAGGTGGGGACTTGGAGCTGCTGGGCACCTACTGTAGAAGGAGAGCCCCCGGTTCTTCTCGTCATCGAGGTAGGCAGCAAGGAAGAAGGTCCTGGGGTCTTTGAAGAACAGCAGGTGGGCAAAATGTTCTCTGCCCCATTCTGCAAGAGGAGAGAGCGCTGGGTGAGACTGTGAGAGGGCACAACGGTTTTAGTTGCACAGGACAGCAAATCTGGGGTGCCCAGGCCCAGGCAGCCATCAGCGAAGGCCTGGAGTCCACTTAGACCCCCACGTGCCCACCCCACTGTGTGCCAAGCTAACCCCTTTACGTATGTGGAAACAAGACTGGCTCCCGAGGCCTGTTCCCCCAGTTTAAAGAGGGAAATGAGGCGCAGAGAGGAGCCTCGAGGTTGCTGACTGTGTCAGTTCAGTTCCGTAGGCATTTGTGTGCTCCTACTGTGTGCTGTCCGTAGGCATTTGTGTGCTCCTACTGTGTGCTGTCTCTGCAGTGATGGTGGGGACAGAGAGGAGTCACTGACCGCCCGAGATGCAGTCTCCCTGCCTTGTCATCCAGACCGTCTTGAAGAGTGACTGAGAGGCGGGTCTGACCGACCTTGGCTTTGAACTCCTGTTGTAATGGCAAGCTGTGTGATCTCAGGGAAAAGCCTGGCATCTCTGTTCTTCCCTTTCCTCACCTAATCATTGCATGTCCCTTTAGGCTTGTTCATGAGAACCAAGTGGAGCCATCAGCATAAAGCATTTTGAACAGTGCCTGGCCCGTGGTAAGAGCTTAAAGATGTTGGCGGTGATAACTATGAATTTCGGGGCGAGCAGGTCCCAGGACTGTGGAGAGGGAAGAGGGCCTGTCCTGTGTTCCCTGTGCCCAATGCCTTCAGGGTCCTAGACCCAGCCTCCTCCTCTAGGCTGGCCCCATCCCACGGGACAGACCCTCTGCCCAGGGCCCACCCTCACCGTATTTGGAGATCGTCCTGTTCTCGCGCTGCACCCGCAGGTCACTGGAGTTGTAGATGCACTTGTCCCCCCTAACAGCAGGTGGAGGGTGGGGGACAGCAGATGGTCAGACCGTGACAATATATTTCCTGTGAAGTCTAGAGGCAGGGGTGGACTACTAGAGGCAGGGGTGAGTAGAGTCAGCCCTCCTCATCCCACAGGCGGGAAGATGGAGGCCATGATGGGGGAGGGACTAGTTTGCACGTCTAACACACGAGAGTAGAAAGCAGAGACTGGGACTGGGGTGTGGGGCTGGCGTGGGCTCTCACATGGTTGTGTATTCTCGGAGCAGGATCTGGTCCTCCGTGTGGTTGGGGGTTAAGTAAAAGAAGGCTGCCTGAATCGTCTGGGAAGACTGATTGTACTCCGGGTTCCGGTTGGCTGAGGCGATATAAAACCACTTGCCAGAGATCTGGGGAGAAGGCAGGGGCTGGTTTTAGGCAGGGGCTGGGAGCACAATTCTTGACGGTCATACAGGACAAGACTCGGGCTGCTCCCTTTTCTCTCTGTTGTGCAACAAGGAATCTGAGACCCCAGGTGGGAGGAGACAGGCAGGATCAGGCCAATGGAGCCATCCCCTACAGAAAGACTCTGCCATGGGCCTTCTGAGTGTGGACTCAGGCACGTGGCTCTGCTATGCCCCTGCTCGTCAAATTTTCACCCCGAAGTCCTGCAGAGCAGAGGGCAGAGCTAGGGGAGGGTGCTGACCACAGGGGCTGGGTGGGGAGAAGCTCAGTTAGGGCAGCAGCCGCCCATGGTCACCAGAACGGTCAGGCCCCAGGCACTCACCCTCTCCAGGGTGGCATTGGTCATAGGTGCCACTGTGAGGTTGGCACATGCCGGGTTCTGGGCGTCCAGCAGAGGTAGAAGGCTCAGGACTGTGAGGGCCCAGGGCAGCGCCATGCTGAGAGATGTGAGGAGGCACCAGAGCTGGTGAGAGCTGGTGGCCAAGGGCAGTGCAGTGACCTTTATAACAGGTGTGGGCGGGGCATCTGGGGTCTAGCTAGGGTCTACTCAGGGCCATGACGCAATCCTGCCAGCAACTGGGACATGGGGAATTCCTTGCACAGGACCTGGGCCAAGGTCAGCTGTCAGCACAGCCTGTACCCCTGGGCCTGATGCAGTTCTTGGCCTGAAAAAGTGAGGGAGGGTCTCATTAGCACCTGGTTTAGTCAAGGCCAAGGTGGGTGTGCAAGCAGAGTGGTGAGCCCATAGATTTTAGTAGCAGGGCCTCCTGCCCCACAGTCTCTCATGTTTTCAACCAATTGTATCCTCCTGAGCTCCAGTGCTGAGGACCAGCCTTGGCGGGGGTTGGTTGCCTCATCGGAGGTGGCGCTAGAAAGAAAGACTGAGACCTCGGTACCTTTTTCGTTCACGTCCTCATTCGGACACTCCCAGAGATTGCTCTCTGAAGAGTGACAACTGCTAGGAAGCATCGTGCCTTTTTATTGAAAATGTGATACATGCTAGTAAGCGGGTGGGAGGCTACATGTTCTAATTATCAATTCATAAAGTTTTAACAATAGGGATCATAAGTTTCATTCAGGGTTTGATTAAGGGCAGGTGTATTAATTATCAATACAGTTCAACCATTGTTTGACTGATGAAAACAGGTTCTTGGTAACTTCAAGAAGTGCAGTTTCAGGGAACAATTCCAGCAAGCAGAGTTAATTATCAGCCGATGTTCAGCAGCAGCCGTCTTGTGATTACTAAAAGAAAATCTCAGGTATATGGGTAGTAGTTCTTATGGATCTTAATAAAGAATGATACTTATATAATTCTATAGGGATCTAAAATTTAATTAGAGGAATGCTAATATATCTGTTTTAAAGGGATGCGCCTACTGTTCACTTGGTGAGCATAAAGGGATACTTTGAACAGCTTTTCCAATTAGCAGTACCGGTTTTTCTTAAGTCAAAAGTAAAATGACTAACAAGTTAATGAAAAACTTTAAAATGGGTTTGTGGTACCTAAGTGCTTTGTTGTGGATTCACTTGTATAGCCTATGGCACCACTGTTATGTATTTTGTTAGAACATTAGTTACCATGGGGGAGAGTGTCCTGGGCCAGTTTCAGCCTAGTCCTATTGTATGTAAAAAGGTTATTTATATTAAATGTGTCTTGAAGGGCCTTCCAAAGGTCAAGAAAATTTCTGCCTAGATAGAACTTCAGCACACCCTCCATTGTGACCGCAGGGATGATGCATTGTAATTAACAGTAGGTGGTCAGGGCAAAAGGGAGCAGTCAGGGGACTTTCGGGAAATCTTATCATATGCTCAGGGTGTATGAGAGATCTATGTAATTCTTTTATAGTAGTACATCAGGGAGTCGGGGGTGGGGGGGAGGTCACTTCCCAGCAAGGCTACCGCAGTCTCCAGAGCATACAGCAAGTGGCTTTGCTCATAGGTCGGGGGTGGGGGGAGAGCGGCGTACAACAGCGGCCTTGACAACGTGCTGAGCTGACCAAGGCTGTGCTCAAGGGTTAAAGGCTCAAAACAGATCCTGGGGCCCCACTGGGTTGGACTCCTCCACTCCAGGACTTGAGTTGGGTCCAGCCACAATAAGGCTCCTTTCCACATGTCCCCAGGTTAGTTTGGGGGACAGAGAGACAGAGAGACAGAAAGCATGAACTCACACCCCCAGTGAGGATGGCCACATCCCATCCCTTCTCCTCTATTTTCCTCCTGATATTTTGGGCATGCAAACACGGCCATTTGATTTTGAAGCCAGTGGTTCCAGGACTGGATCCGTTGTCAGCCATGTGGGAATCCAACAACATAGCTGCTATGCCGTCTGCTGGCCCCTTCAATAAATAATGCTAAAAATGTAGATATAAGAAAGGACTATTAAAATGGGAAATTTTAAGTGAATTGAAAAGGTTCACATTTAGTCAAACTTGAAGTACAGACTACACTGAACTATGAGAAAGTGCTCCAAGTACATACAGTGAATAAAAATACAAACTTGTAAGAACACCATTGGGGCCAGCAGATGGCGTAGGGGTTGTGTCACTAAACTCCCATGCAGCAGACTGCGGTTCAGGTCCTGGACCTGCTACATTGAAAATCCCACGGCCTGCCTGTGCATGGGTGCTCGCGCATGAGTGCCTGAGCTCCTTAGGAGAATGAAGAGAATGGAGGAGAAGGGATTGAGGTGTGGTCTTCCCTGCTGGGAGGTGATTTCTCACTTTCTTTCTCACTTTCTCTCCCTCTACAGCAAGAGCACATCCCTTAAGGCAAAAACCTATTAAAAACAAACAAACGTGGGATCAGATATGGTTTATTACCTGTTGATGGTCACGTGTATAGTGTTCTCAACTGGACAGGTCTGAGAATTATTTCATGTGAGGTAAACTGTTTTTACAAGCAAAATGATAAACAATGATTAAATGTTTAAAAAATAATTGTAATTGGGAACCAGCAGTTAGCGTAATGGCTATGTCGCTGGACTCCCACGTGGTCGACCGCAGTTCGTGTCCCGGACCCGGTGGCTTAAAACTCATGCCAGGCGTGTGTGCGTGCATGCCCAGGATCCCAAGAGGAGAATGGAGGAGAAGGGATTGCAGCATGATCATCCCCCCGGGGGATGATTTCTCACTTTCTGTCTCTATGTCTCTCTCTGTCTGTCTGGCGAGCGCACGCCTATAGCGAAAATCTCTAAAAAAAAATTGTAATTGTAATAATAATAATAATCTAGAAAAAATTAAAAGCTATTGATTGATGATGATGGAGATTTTAATGTCTTTGTATTGACTGATATGAATGGTATTCCTTCTGGAAAATGAAATGTAATACACTGTATAGTTTTATGTGATTCAGTGTAATATAAGCAAGATTATGATAATAAAAAAAATTAAAACAAACAAATAAACAAAAAAACCCACCATCATTATCCTTTTTGGAAGTATTCATTCATATGGATAAGGATTTGACCCCACCTGGTAGAAATGTACGTGGGCAGGGAATCATTCGTCCACAATATTTGCTCAGTGTCCTCTGTGTGGGGCATTGACCCAGGACTGGGATGGGTGCGGGAAAGACAAACAAGGTCCCTGCTCAGACAGCAGTCAGTGTGGGACGAGAGGGAGGTGATTCCATTTCACGTTGCTTGTTGGCAGTTCATACAGGCCACTTTTTGGAAATGCCCCTTCTTCCGGGACTGGGTCGGACTGATAGGCTTTTGTTCTGTCATAGTTGTGGCCACACTCTGTTGGAACTGAATCCATGTTTGCCCTCTACCTCCCCTGCACCATCCAACCTCCCAAACTAACCTGGGAACATGTGGAAAGGAGCCTTATTGTGGCTGGACCCAACTCAAGTCCTGGAGTGGAGGAGTCCAACCCAGTGGGGCCCCAGGATCTGTTTTGAGCCTTTAACCCTTGAGCACAGCCTTGGTCAGCTCAGCACATTGTCAAGGCCGCTGCTGTACGCCGCTCTCCCCCCACCCCCGACCTATGAGCAAAGCCACTTGCTGTATGCTCCAGAGACTGCGGTAGCCTTGCTGGGAAGTGACCTCCCCCACCCCCGACTCCCTGATGTACTACTATAAAAGAATTACATAGATCTCTCATACACCCTGAGCATATGATAAGATTTCCCGAAAGTCCCCTGACTGCTCCCTTTTGCCCTGACCACCTACTGTTAATTACAATGCATCATCCCTGCGGTCACAATGGAGGGTGTGCTGAAGTTCTATCTAGGCAGAAATTTTCTTGACCTTTGGAAGGCCCTTCAAGACACATGTCCTATAGCAGAAATCTACCAAAAAAATAAAAAAGAAAAGAATAGGAAAAGGAAATGGCATCTTGCTGAGAGAGGACTGAAGGGAAGACTTCTGGTGGACTCCGAGCCTCCGAGTCCAGAGCCTCGCCAGCATCAGCAGCCTGCCCCTTCTGCTCCTGCTCTGAGACATCTGGCTGGAAGGGGAGCCCTGTGTCGGGTGCCACACGGGCTCCAGCTGTCGGGTCGGGGCTGCTGGAGTCCTGGGCTATGGAGCCCGGCCCTTGGGAGGGGAGCCAAAAAGGGCGATGGCATGGTGGGCACAGGACTGGGTATCAGGGCATTGGCTATGAACCTTCCCTTCTGGAGTTGCCTGGATATTCAGCCTCTCCTTTCTGCCAACCGATTGGTGCTGCCGCCTTCATGTGACAAGGCCCATCAATCAGGAGGTCCCAGTGTTAGGGAGGAGGTGGGACCTTCCTTGCTGGACTCCTGGCTTCTAGTGCTCAGTTCTTGTGCCATAGTGGGCTATGCCCTGTGCAGGGCTCCACCTGGAGGGCTTCAAGAACTTTGCAAGATAAGCTGTCAGGTGTGGGTGGAACGCAGTTAAACACTGGGCAGAGGGAGCCTGATCCCACGTGACCAACCAGACTTCAAGTCCCAGACCCAGAGACTTGGAAGAAGACATGCCAGACACGCACGTGCATGTCTGGGTCTTGATGGATTAGGAAATTGGAGGCAGAAGAATTGCAGTGTGAACAGGCCCTGTTGAGGGAATGCTCTCTCTGTCTCTCTGTCTCTCTCTCTAGTGGGCACACAAGCATGATCCAGCATTACAAAAAAAAAAAATCACAAACATACACACACACACACATATATAGTGTCAGCTGGTTTCTGGGACCAACCTCACTCCAGATGTCATTTCCTTTTTATGGTCTCCAGATGAGTTCCCTGAGGAGACGTCCATGGAGACACCAGCCCCTCTGGACGAAGCCCCGAGTCCCCCACATCACCTCTGCTCTGTCCATGCCCTGGCCAGACAACCTTGCCTGGATGTTCCTACCTCCCATTTAGTCCCTCCCAACCCGCCTCCCCACACGTCAAAACTGATTTGCCTGCAGTAAGGTCCCTTGTGACTGGCACCTCACGCCTCCGTGCTCCCCACACTTGACCCACCTCTGCTGCTGCATGGGGTCTTCTGTCCCAAGGTCCCCAATGTGTCCTCTTGGTCTTTGCTTGCC